CCCCCCTCCTTCCCCTTCTTCCTGCTCTGGGCTCTCTCAACCTCCCTCAGGCCCTCGCCCACAAGAGGGCCTCTGCCTGGAATGTCTTTCCACCTCCTCTTTCCTTCTCTGACTCCTCCTCCGAGGGGCCTTCCCGACTCCCCAGTCTCAAACTCTCTTGGCATCTCGCAGTTTTTCCTTGGGGGAGCAGGCTCTTTACTGCCTGGGAACTTGCTGGAGATACAAATTCCTGGGCCCCACCCAGGCCTACCCTACCGTGTGAGATGCCGGGAGGTGCGCCCAGCAATCTGTTTGAACAAACCCCCCAGGGGATTCTGAGTGCTCAGGAGCACTAATCATAATCTGCTCTTAAATACTTGTGTGATTCTGAAAATGTCCTCCCTCCCCATCAAGCTCTTTGAGGAAAGGACTACATTCTCAGCTCCCGTCATTTGCCTATTTAGCGCCATATTTTGTTGGCAAACGCTGTTCATTTGTCGCCTCAATATCCCCTGCATGTACCTGAGGCCTCAGCAAGTGGGGTTAATGCCTTGGTGCTAGGGTGGACATTTATTCCTCTTTTGTCCTTCCAGTGGTACCAAACATCTGTCTAGGCACGTAAGTGCCTCAAAATGGTCAGGACTGAACTACACTGAAATCATACAAAGGCAGAAATTCAAAGCAAATCAGAGACCGTGCCACTCCCATTAACAACAGCAACAAAAATTCCCTTAGCTTTTAACATTTGCTGCCAACGTCTGTGTGGATGCTTTCCTGCAGGCCTAGGCCCTCTCCTTGCAGGGAGAGCTGGGAGAGCTGGTATTTCTTCTGTATTATAACCATCGTATCACAACATTTAAGGGCAGGGTAGACATTTGACACTTATGCACATTCAAACATCGTTTAATCTTGGAGAAGGGCTGTTTATAAAACTTAGAACTGGAGGGTCCTGCAAGTCCCATTTCTTCTGAGGCCGTTACTTGCCTGAAAGGGAAACTGAGGCCCAGGGAGGCGAATGGAGACGCCTTGTGTCAGAGCTGGGCCCACAGAAGGGTCTCCTCACAAGGGAGGCACCCTCCACGAGCCCCCTCCTCACCCCACACACTGCACCCCGTGGTCTCCTGTGATGCCTTGTTGAGCGCTCTGGTTAACAGGCTACCAGAAAGCTCGGAGACCTCGTGACACACACAGCACATATATAAATGTTTGCATTCTTTTTCCATTGCCTTCCCTAAACTTAAACTGGGAAGTCTATGGAAAAATTAAGAGGCCACGCGATTGCCAGAAAAGCACAAATCACGTCTCTCCCCCAAGTCTGGGAAACTGTACAACCATAACTCCAAAGAAGTCCTCTGGCCGTCCCTATTTTCTCAAGATCTGGTTGAGATTTGGAAACATGTTGTATTCATTTTCGAGGGGAGAAAAATCTGCAGAGCAGAGCAGTTTGAGCTGCCCATCTGTTGTGGGGCCGCGAGGAGCTGACCTGGACCGGGGGATCGGGGAACGGAGCACGGGGCGTGGGTGTCGGGCCACACAGAGCCTGGAGCCCTGCCAGGTCCCCGATCCTATTAAAATCCGATAGTGCAACAGAACTAGGTCATCGCTTCCGCCCCGCCCCCAAATACAATGGACAGGCTGTTTGGTCGTGTGTCCTGTTTGGTGTGCACAGAAGTTGAAGCGAGCTTTGTTCTGAGCTGTTTATCTTGGAATCTCAAAGGTGCACTGTGACTTGCAGAAAGAATGCATGGTAGTCCACAACAGTGTCTGGACTGGACACGCCAGCCACGCGCACAGACCGGCAGGCAGAGCCCACGTTCAGTTCAGAGACCCCGAGGCTGAGTCACATGGCAGGGTGCCTCTGAGGCTTTGGGACCTTGAAAGTCTATTATTTTGTCCTTTGCCAAAATGATGTTTGATGCCTTCCTTTTCACTTTTCTCCTTTAGCTGTGAACTATTTTAGGTTAAGAATTGGGGCAAAGAGGGGCGCCTGGGTGGCTCAGTCGGTTGAGCATCCGACTTCGGCTCAGGTCATGATCTCGCAG